ATCGTCGTACAGAGCTTCTTCTTGAACCCTGAGCATGGAGGCGTACAAAAACATTTTTTTTTTTTGTTTTTTGAGACAGAGGCTCGCTTTGTTGCCCATCTAGAGTTGATGCCGGTGCGTCCACCTGGCTCACAGTAGTTAACCTCAAACTCTGGGCTCAAGGAATCCTTCTGACTCAGCCTCCCGAGTAGCTGGGACTGCAGGCATGTGCCACCAAGCCTAGCTAATGTTTGCTATATATTATTAGTTGGCCAATTAATTTTGTTCTATTTTTAGTAGAAATGGGGTCCGGCTCTTGTTCAGGCTGGTTAAAACATCTTAAAGTTGTAACAGTAACATAAGAAAGAAGGTTCTGTAGAATCATTTCAATATATAATCCTTAACATTTATTTATCTAGGATTTTTATATATGATTATAATGTGTTTCGTGAAATATTATTGCCCTGTCTGTATGCTAATGTTTCAAAATCTGTGCTCTTACGGATGCCCAGTCATCTTGAAAATTACAGTTAATCTAGAATTCTTGTTCAGTCATATACTATGTTTATTCAGAATTTTATAGATCAATTTTTTAAGTTTGTTTTGCAATTTTATAGTTCTTTCAATTTTTTTTCTCCATCATTTTGTAACATAGGCCACTTCACATTGGACAGTTGTGTTTTTAGTTTTTATCTGTATATTATATTTTTGCATAATAATATTGAATTCTGTATACTTAAAAACATTGTGGGGCAAAAATAAAATATCAGTCAGCCATATGCCTTTCACGAATATAATTCTCTTTGTGTTTCTTTTTCTATATGAATATTACTCCTATTTTGTTTATGAGTAGTACATTTTTTTCTTGGTGGTTAATGGTTACTCTGTCTAGGAGAATAGTCATGAAAATTATCTTAAATTCAACATATATTTATTGTTAAAATTACATTATCTTTGTGTGAATCATTTGTGTAATTTGAAGATGATTTTTGAAAAGCTTTTAAAGTATTTTTGGTGTTATTTATTTTTTATTGTAAAACACATGAAATTTATAATATTAAATATTTTTATTACACAGTTCACTCATGGTAAGTATATTAACAATGTTATATAACATTTATCCTTTACAGGTACTACTCCGTTTTTCTTTTTTTCTAAAAATTAACCTACTTTAAATATGTTATATAAGTAGATTCTAAAGTGTCAGTGTTTGTATGGCTAGCTTATTTCATTTAGCATGAAGTCATAAATGATTTGTTTAGCATGAATGATTTATCTTTATTATAAAGTTAAAAGATTTTCTCCTTTTTAAAATTGAATATTACTCTATTATTTTTATATACCCAATTATATTTTTCCATTTATTTTATCAGGCAGATTTGGGTTGTATTAATATATTCACTTTTATGAATAATGCTGATGTAAACACACACACTGACATGTAAACACACACATGTATAGACATATAATAGACAAATAATGCTAATGAATATGGATATGCAAATAACTCTTCCATTGACCATGTACATTAGGGGTTTATATCTGTTGTACATTTTGTTTCATTGTCTAGTTGTCTGATTTTATGCCAGTAGCAAACTGCTTTGATTACTGGACCTTTGTAACATGTCTTTAAATCAGAAAATGCAATGCCTCCAACATTATTTGTTTTCTCAAGATTGGTGTACTTTTCGTGGCACTTTGGCATTCCATATGATTTTTTAAATTTCTTTTTCTAAAAAATTTTACATTGAGAATTTTAAAAAGATGCCATTGAATTTATAGATGATTTGGGGTAGTAGGGACATCTTAAAAATAGTAAGTCTTTCAACCTTTCAAGAGTATTCTTAAGAGTACATCATTTAGTTTCCATTTATTTATCGATATTCTGTTTTTCTGTCTGTTACTGATTTCTAATTTTATTCCATTTTGGTCACAAATAATTTTCTGTAATAGTTTAATTTTTAAAAGCTTGTAAAGAAATGTTTTGTGGCCGAACCCTTGTTCTATTCAGGAGAATAGAACTATTTTTGAGCTATTGGTAAGATTTTGTATTCTGTTGCATGTAGTGCTATTTATTTGTCTGATAGGCATAATAATACTTTTATAGTGCTTTCAAGTTCTCTGTTCCCTCATATAACATTGTGTCTTGCATTATTATTCATTACCAAAAGTGGGGTATTGCTGGATCTTACTGTTATGACATTGCTATTTATTTCTAGCTTTAATTCTCTTAATGTTTGCTCTACATATTTGGCAACCTTTATTTTACACACACACACACACACACACACACACACAAACACACACATGTATAGACATGTAAAAGTACATCATAGGTTTCCAGTGAATGAACTCTTATTATTATTAAATATCATTCTTTGTCTTTTGTGACAGTTTTGAATTAAAGTATGTTATATGAAATAAGACAAGTTGTTATGGTCCTATGGTCAAGAACACGAGAAAAGACCTAAAGATTGAACTGAGCCAAATAGGGAGTCTTTATTAGCTGGCCAGCAGCTATGTCTGCACCTCCAGGAGCCAGTTATACAAAGAGCAGCCCAAGCCAAAAGAAGTACTTTTTTTTAAAGGCAAAAACCATATCCAGGACAGTTATCTGGTTGAGCAAGCAGGGTTACAGGAGGTACAGTCAGCATTAATCTCAGTCAAAAATACATTCTACATCCTATGATCTAAGCCAGAGTACATTTCACTTCCTGTTATCTGGGTAATTGAGGTACCCTTGGGTGTTTTGGTGCTCCAGGGCGTTTTGGCCCTCTGGTCTAGTGGTTATCTTGTGTTGTTGACAGCTGTGTGAATATATCACCCTCTCGCTTCCCCCTTTATTCTATGCTTAAGCATACTGACAGAAGCAAGATAGCAGGTTATTTTCCCATGGACCTTAACAAAGTTTTGAATCAAATTATATTGCACTTAGTTTTGACCTCCCATTTTCATTTCATCAGCATTTGCTTGGAATATCTTTTTCTGTCCTGCCAATTTTATTTCATATTTTCTCATTTCATGTAAGGGAAATGTCTTGCAGACAGTATATAGTTGGATATTTTTATTAGTATTTTCTTAAATCCCTACCTTTATTCAATGTATGTCTTTTGATTGTGAAGTTTACTGCATGAATATTCACATAATTTTCTGAAAGGGAAGGACTTACTCTTGCCATTTTATCAATTGTATTTTTATTGTTGTATCTTTCTTCCTCCTTTGTCTCTTTTCTTCTTTGTGTCTCATTGATGTGTGTAATGACATACCTTGACTCCTTTGTCATTATTTTAGTGTATCTCCATAGGTATTTTTGTTATGGTTACCATGATGAAAACACAGTGCCTCTAATAGTTACAGCAATATATCTTAAAATGTTAACAACTGAAATTTAGTCACATATAAAAATTTTTCCTCATTACATCTGCTGTCATCTTTGTTATTGATACCATGAATTAATTATATCTCATTATATTGTATACCCATTAACAGAGGTGTGGTTATTTTTCTGTATTCATCTTCAAATTTTAGATCATGAATAAAAATGTTTTCTGCACCATCATTCCGATACTAGAGAATTTTACTTAGATATACTTCCATGTCTTTCCCAGAGAGTTATTTAGTTTCATATAATTTTGTGTTGCTTTCTACCATCTTTTTATTTTGAATGCAAGCAGTCCCCTTTGGAATTGCTTGTGGGTAATAAATCATTGCGTATCTAATTATCTTGAGAAATGTTTATTTTTCCTCATTTAGAAGGACAGTTTTGATGGATACAGTTCTGCTTTTAAGTTGTCATCTTTTAGCACTTTGTATATACCACCCAAATATTTTCTGGCATGCAAGTTTTCTGTTGATAAATTGACTAGTAATCTCTAAGAAGCATGTTTATACATAGCATCAAGATTCTGTTGTTGCGTGTGACTTTAAGAACTTTGTATATAGTCTGTCTCTTATGGGTACTTTGGTGTTTTTCCTAGCAGAAGTATGTTGAGCGTCTCAATTTGTTTATGTATTTATTCTTACCTTTGAGAATTTCTCAGTCATTTCTTCTTGTATGCCTCAGCTGAATAGTGTGTATTTTCTTCGGCTTCTATATTTTGTTGTTTTTCTTACTTTCCTGATTTCGTTTATGTTCAGTATTGTTCCTATTTCACAGATTACTCATCATTCAGATGGTTATTTTTAATTTTTTCAGGTAATTTATACATCTCCAATCCTTTATGGTTGACTTCTTGTTATTTTGTTTCTTTCATGGCGATATGTTACTGTCGTATTTGGAATATGTTGTAATCATTGGTTGAGATGTGCGAATTAACAAAATCAGCTTTCACAAACTTCATCAAGTGGCTTTGTCCAGGGGGACTCTGATACCAATTCACTGTACTGGATAGGAGCATGAAATGTGTTCTGAGGATGTTTTTTCTGTGACATTTTTTATTTTCCCACTTTTTTTTTAGGAGCCTGTTGTCATATGCTATAACTCTTCTCCATCTGTGGTACTGAAATTTCCCTGGTGCAGTAACAATCTTTTACCTTTGGTTTCAGCACACTATGTCTGTCAAATAATAGTATAATTCTTTTCAGAACTCTGTGTTATGAGAGACAAACCAATCTTTGTAAGGGCTCCTAGAAGCAGAAAGAGCCAATGTTTTCCTTCTCTTTTGAGAGAGAAGCTGGGATTTGGGAATATACTTCTATGTGCAGCATACTGTATTAATAAGGAGGAAAGGCCATGTAGAGTGAATATAACAAATTTTCTTTCTCTTCTCTGTTGGTTTCGGTATTTCCCTCTCTTGCTGTCCTGTGAACTCTTCTCTGGTTATTAGAATTCCCACAAAGGCAATTTGGTAACTATCATTTTTTATATTTATTTATCTAAAAGAGAATTAGAGCCTGCATCGTGTATTGTGCCATCTTGGTAATGTGTTTTACAAAATTCTACATATTAAATTTCTAACATTTGTTTCTCTGATTGTCAAAGAAACAAGGGGGATAATTGCTTATTTTTTAATTTCTTTCAGCTTTGTCTTCTCATTCTACTGAAGACTATTTGCCAGAGCAGTATATAAAATGTTTATTCCCCAAAGTGATACCAAAAAGATCTGAAAGCTGTGGCCTTGAGAATCTACAATTAACAAAAGACTGGGAAAGTGTGGGGGAGCGTAAGGAGCAGAAAGGATGCGATAATGAACGTAACAAATGTTCAACGACTACACATAGCAAAATCTTCCAGTGTAATGAATGTTTGAAATCTTTTAAGGTATTGTTAAATCTAAATAGACATAAGGTGAGACATAATGTAGAGAAACTTTTTCAATGTGAAGAATGTGGGAAAGCCTCTAACCAATGCTCACATATTACTGAACATAAAACAATTCCTAATACAAAGGAATATTACAAATTGAAAGCATGTAGCAAAACCTCTCACAGGCACTTGGCTCTTTGTACACATAAAGGAATTCATACAGGAGAGAAACCCTATGAATGTGCAGAATGTGACAAAAACGTCAATCATATCTCAATCCTTTTGAAACATAAGAGAATTCATAGTGGAGAGAAACCATACAAATGTTTAGATTGTGGCAAAGATTTTAGCTTTTCCTCATCCCTTAAGTTGCATAAGAGAATTCATACTGGAGAGAATCCCTACAAATGTGAAGAATGTGACAAAGCCTTTAAGCAGTCCTCACATCTTACTACACATAGGAGAATTCATTCTGGAGAGAAACCCTACAAATGTGAAGAATGTGGCAAAGCCTTTAAGCAGTCCTCAAATCTTAGAAGACATAATGTAATACATACAGGAGAGAAGCCCTACAAATGTGCAGAATGTGGCAAAGCCTTTAAGCAGTCCTCACATCTTAGAAGACATAATGTAATACATACAGGAGAGAAGCCCTACAAATGTGCAGAATGTGGCAAACACTTTAATCATATCTCAAGCCTTATGAGACATAAGAGAATTCATACCAGAGAGAAACCCTACAAATGTGAAGAATGTGGCAAAAATGTTAATCGTATCTCTAGCCTTATGAAACATAAGAGAATTCATACTGGAGAGAAACCCTACAAATGTGAAGAATGTGGCAAAGCATTTAACCAGTCCTCATACCTTAAAAAACATAAGAGAACTCATACAGGAGAGAAACCATACAAATGTGAGGAATGTACCAAATTCTTTACCTGGTCCTCAGAACTTAAAAGGCATAAGATAATTCATACAGGAGAGAAACCATTCAAATGTGAAGAATGTGGCAAATTCTTTACCTCTTCCTCAGAACTTAAAAGTCGTAAGATAATTCATACTGGAGAGAAACCATACAAATGTGGGGAATGTGGCAAAGCTTTTGCCAGATCCTCAAACCTCATTGCACATAATATAATTCATACTGGAAAGAAATCCTACAAATGTAAAGAATGTGGTGAAGCCTTTAAGTGGCCCTTAAGTCTTAAAAGACATAAGAGAATCCATACAGGAGAGAAACCCTACAAATCTGCAGAATGTGGCAAAAACGTTAATCATATCTCAAGCCTTATGAAACATAAGACAATTCATAGTGGAGAGAAACCATACAAATGTTTAGAATGTGGCAAAGGATTTAGCTTGTTCTCAACCCTTAAGTTGCATGTGTGAATTCATACTGGAGAGAAACCCTACAAATGTGAAGAATGTGGCAAAGCCTTTTACCGTTCCTCACACCTTACTACACATAAGAGAATTCATACAGGAGAGAAACCATACAAATGTGAGGAATGTGGCAAAGTCTTTTCCTGGTCCTCTGTCCTTAGAAATCATAAGGTAATTCATACTGGAGAGAAACCATACAAATGTGAGGAATGTGGCAAAGCCTTTCCCTGGTTATTACAACTTAAATGTCATAAGATAACCCATACTGGAGAGCAACCCTACAAATGTGAAGAATGTGACAAAGCCTTTAAGAAGTCCTCACAACTTACTGCACATAGGAGAATTCATTCTGGAGAGAAATCCTACTAATGTGAAGAATGTGACAAAGCCTTTAAGCAGTCCTCACTACTTAAACTGCACATAGGAGAATTCATTCTGGAGAGAAACGATACAAATGTGAAGAATGTAGCCCAGCCTTTAACCGGTCCTTACACCTTAAATGACATAAGAGAATTCATACAGGAGAGAAATTATACAAATGTGAAGAACGTGGCAAAGCCTTTAGGCATTCCTCAAATCTTAGAAGACATAGGTAATTCATACTAGAGATACACTGTACAAATGTTAAGAATCTGGCAAAGCTTTTAGGTATTGCTCACAACTTAAAAGACATAAGATAATTCATGCTGGAGAGAAACTGCACAAATGTGAAAAATGTGTCAAAGTGTTTCGCCATAGTTCACATCTTAAAAGACATAAGAGAATTAATACCAGAGAAAAACCCTATGAATGTGAAGAATGTGGCAGGGCCTTTAACCAGTACTCACGTTTCCACACAGAAGAACTCATAGTGGAGAGAAGGCCTACAAATGTGAACAGTGTGGGAAAGCCTTTAATCAGTGTTCATACTCTACTAAGCAAACATTTACATTGTTGAGAAACCTTGCAAATGTAAGGATTGTAGTAAATCTTTTAACTTATGCTGAAAACTTTGTATCCATGAGGAAATTTAAGTAGAGAAACTCCTTACAAAATGTGAACAATATCGTTAGGCCTGTATCCACTACTCACACACTTTTCTGTATATAAGATAATCCATAGTGGAGAGAAATCCTTAAAAATATGAAGAATGTGGCAAAACCTTTAAGCATTGTTCACACCTTTATAAGCATACCAGAAAGAGAAATGTGGCAAATACTTTACCTGGTGCTTTTATTGTAGTATAGGTGAGGGAATTCATACAAAAACAAAATCCTACAGATGTAAATAAAGTGGCGTAGCCTTTAATAACTGATGACCTATTACCTCAACACCACAGAGTCATACTGGGTACCTGATATAAATGTAAGGAGTTTCAAAACACCTTTCAGAGCATTAACATCTGAGAGTGCACCAGAGTATTTATAATAAAAAAATTACAACTCTAAAGAGTGGTGCAGTACCTTTACTTTTATCACAGATTTTATTGTGCACAGGAGACTATATATAGTGGGAGGAATCCTACATTGATTGCTGAAACTTTATTCAAATTACGAGAATTTGGATTGGAGAAACAGTCTACTAATGTAATGAATTCTGAAAACCTTTGTTCAATAACACAGCTTTGGAAACACCAGAGGTTATACTAAAAGATATTTTATATATGCTATAATTTGAAAAATATTTAATTAAAAAATCATGTCTAAATGAATATTAGGGGACTCGTAGTAGATAGAACTAAGGTCCTAATACTTTCCGATATTACTCTAAAGTAGAATTTTGGTTATAGAGAATGCAAAGTTAAATAGTTTAGTAATTTATGTGTATGTTTAAAAACAGCAGAAGAGTTATGGAGAGTCATAATTACATTTAGAGTATACTTTTTGCATTAAAAATTTTATATTTTTTAGAAAATCAAACATGAATGTAATTCAATTTTAAATTACTTGATGATACATCATCATTCCTAGTGTTTTTGTGAGAGAATATGGTCAATCACTGCTGCATCAAAGATATGAAATGTCTTTCTAAATTAGGTGGGTATCATTCATGTGCTCTTACGATGAACACTAAAAACACTAAAATGTAAGATGAATGAATAAAATGGAGAGACTCTTTGTGATTAACTTGTAAGTGCCTTAGAGGTGATGTTGGCATTAGTCATACAGAGTAATCTCCTTTATTATAGTTAGAAACATTTGGGATCTCAGAAGTAAATTGTTTTACCAGGTGCATATTTAGTAATAAAATACAGTGGATGTTGAAGTGATTTTTTAAAGACTATGTGTGAACTTAAATTTTTTAATAAACTCGTGTTTCATGTGTTGAGTGTTGTACATTGAATAAAGTGTTATACTGCCACCAACATCCTGTCCCACCGTATTCTAAGTTATAGGTCACAGATAGTAACAATATACTATTGGATATCATTGTGTAATAACATGTTTAGTGACCTTTGTTTCAACAGGCTTTAAACTTGAAATATTTCCATAGGGTATATTTTTATTTTTTGTGTAGCTGTTGAAAGGCATAGATATCTGAATCCTGAGCGACAATTTACAAAGTTTCAGCCTACATTTTCCCTTGAACATGTGACCTCTCTGGCCTGCAAAACATAAAGTTGCTTTTACTTTTTATCTACAGAGTGTCAAATATAGAATTATATCACTCTAAAGATAGATTTTAGTTGTAAAGAGATTATGGAGAAAGAAACTGTGTTTATGTTAGTGTGTATCTGTTTTGAGTAGAAAAAGGATACATTGAAAACTGATAATTCCAAGTTTGGATATTCTGCCAGCAATGTAGAAACCTCAGAAATTCTGAAAGTAAGTATGTATTCTCTTTTTTGTATTGAATTCATCTCTCTAAATCCTTATCGCTCCTGATTCAGAATCTCCCCGTGAAAATTCCCTGGTTTTAATTGTCATTGACTCATGCTAGACCTAAGACATACTTTTTCCCTTTTAAAAGTTCATGAAGTATTTTTTATATGACATGCTCAGATATTGCAAGGATAATTTTAAGGAAGTGGTGCTCACAAAATAATTTCAAGAAATGATTAATTACATAGTGGGTGCGTTATGTGAATTTGTGTTAATTTTTACATTCCATTTTTTCCTTTCAACTGGAGAATCCTATTTGAGCTAATTTTTCTATAGTTATTCTTTTTATTTATTTTTTTTTTTTTTGAGACAGAGTCTCACTTTGTTGCCCAGGCTAGAATGAGTGCTGTGGCGTCAGCCTACCTCACAGCAACCTCAAATTCCTGGGCTCAAGCGATCCTACTGCCTCAGCCTCTGCAGTAGCTGGGACTACAGGCATGTGCCACCATGCCCGGCTCATTTTTTCTGTGTATGTTTAGTTGGCCAATTAATTTCTTTCTATTTATAGTAGAGATGGGGTCTCGCTCTTGCTCAGGCTGGTTTTGAACTGACCTCAGAGCAATCGGCCTGCCTCAGCCTCCCGGAGTGCTAGGATTACAGGCGTGAGCCACCTTGCCCGGCCTATAGTTATTCTTTATTTCCCTTGATGTATAGTAATTGACCTAACTGAGTTGGTTTACTCAGTTGGGCCAATTTGTTTAATTCAACCTGAGGAGGCTTCCTAAGTCATGGATTGTTTTGATACATGAAATGGACAAACACAAGACAGCTCTTGGTGTGTAATAGATGCTTCATAATTAGCAGCAATTGTTCTTGGGGGAATGATGGAATCTTTTGTGGCTCCACATAAAACATAGGAAATAATCACATGTAGAAAGGGCACTGCTTCTTCACGTGCAAAGAGGACACCTTTTCCCAGGCTACACAATGGACTCTGAACCTAGACAGAGAAATTTTGTATTTTTAATTTTCTGATTATCTCCAGGTCCTTGTTGTCTCTTTATGTTCACATCCAGCTACACATGCATCCCAGCCCTTCTATTCTTTTCCTGTCTTACGCCTAACAGCTTCCTCACTGTCCTTTGCATCCCATGTAATTTCACATAGCACATTTCAAGTTGTAATAAGCAGTTTAAATTTTTTTAATGTGGTGAAAAATTGTTTTTATCTGTACACTTTGAAATCATTTATGAGGGCTGTCTCTAAAGTATTCACCACGTAATACGAAAAATAATGGCTTGATAGTTTCCGAAGAGCCCACATATAGAGTATAAATGAACCATTCTGATCACTTAATTGAGATAAGAATGATGCAGTGTCCATTGACTAGAGAGTTAAATCACTGTTAGTACTGTTTGCCTTTGTTAAAGAAAAACGTTATTAGATTCTAACCTGAAGTATGGTAAATGTTAAATTAGTTAGACTAGGAAGAGCATAAATAACAATGGGCCTTATCCTATTGTAAATAATATGT